ACCCTCCCTCAGGAACCCTTGATAAGTTATAGATTATTATTTTCATATCTTACATAGTCCTCTGTCACCCTTCACCCACCTTTCCATTGTTCATCCCCCTGGGAGGGGGTTATATGTTGACCCTTGGGATCGATTCCCTCTCTCTCCCCCAACCCTCCCCTAATCCTCCTGGTATCTCTACTCTCATTGTTGGTCCTGGGGGGGCATTATCTATCCTGGATTCCCTGTGTTCCGGGCTCTTATCTGTAGCAGTATGCATGTTCTGGTCTAATCCAATTTGTAAGGTAGAATTGAGGTCATGATAGTGGGGGGAAGGAAGCACCAAAGAACTAGAGGGAAGTTGTATGTTTCATCGGTGCTATACTGCACCCTGACTGGCTCCTCTCTTCCTTGTGACCCTTCTGTGAAGAAGCACTTTCTTATTAAAAAGAAAAAGTTACAAAAGGTGGTTGGAGTCCCAATTCAAATCTCCAGGAGTTGTTTTGTTTTGTTTTTGTTTTAACCCATGGATCTCTCATGAACAGTATCATCTCGGCTACAATCTATGATCAATATTCTTTCCTCTTGGGTTCAGTGCATCTCATCTTCCAACTGAAAGCCCTGCTAACAGTTTAGCCTCAGGAGAGGCCACGGGCATGCTGGGACATGAGTGTGGAGAGCAGGCACCACTGGTTTATTATTCACTTACATTTGCCCCGAAGCAGGCTCTTCTTTTTCCACAGAAGCGTATCCTGAATGGGGCTCAGAGGGCAGTTAGAGACGTGAGCCGAGCTTCCTTCCTTCTACCACTGGTTTGTTTTCCTGAAATTGGAGTCACGCGTCAAGGGCTGCCCCACACTGCTGTCCCTGTGCAGGGACAATGCCATCGATGAGCTTCTGAGGCCAGAGCAGGCAGGCGATGGCCCCCCTGAGCAGTGGGTTCAAAACATTCTGGTCTAAGATCAGGAATGGCGTCTTCTTGTGCCATAGTCTTGCTTGTTTGGGTTCTTTTGAATTATATTACTGACTTTCATGGCCACCTACCAAAAAACATGCAATACCCATTGCAGACAAGTGAATTCCACATGCTAGCGACTCTACAGGGCAGCGCATGGAACTGCCGCGTGCCGTTCCCAGGCTGCAATCTTTGACTGCCACAGTTTTCTTCCAAGAAGCAGTGACAGATTCAAACTGCTGCCTTTCGGGGAGCAGCGGGCCTTTTGCCACCGCGACACCAGGACGCCTCCCAGAGCTGGCGAGGGACCTATCACCTGATCCTGCTGCTGAGGAGAGAATGGCATTTTGCGTGTAATCCAACTGTTTTTGTACCTTGCACGCTTCCTCCCTGGAAAAACAAGCCCGGAGCAGCTATAAGTCCTGTATGGTTACGTTTGGCCTGGATACTCTTTCCCACCCCCACCCCCACCCCGCCCTTTTCCTGACAGCAGGTGAGAACATGTGACTATTTCCAACACATCTAAGGCACGCTGTAACCACATGTTGTTGTAATGCGCAGCTTAATTACAAGTGTACCCGTGTCTGCCTGGGCCTGCCAAAGCATTGGGGCTCTTTTCATCCAACACAGGCCGCCGGAGCTGCAGATTCGGAGAAGACATAAGTATGGCTAATTAATTCTCCAGTGAGATCAATCCAAGCCACCCCAAACGAGGACTCGGGAGTAAAGCGGAGTAAAAGAGAAAGGAAGCTTGCTCTCCAGGAAAATGGAGGCTGGAAAAGGCTTGAACTTCAGTGGTGACGCAGCATTCTCCAGGGGGGTCATGACAGACTTTCAGTGGGTGCCCATGAGACCACTCCTCTCCCGGCCTGGGGCGGAAAGAGACGTGTCCACGATGGTTCAGGAAGAGCAGCACGCAGACCCCAAATCCCTTTACCTGCACTAAGGGTTTAATCCACGTTGACTGAAGTCCTCATCCTGACATCTGGAAGCAGTAGAAGTGAAGCAGAGATGACCTGCTGCCAGTCTGACGTCTCCCTACCACAGGATGAAGAGGAGTTGCCTGGTCTCCCTGGGACTCAAGAAGCTGGCGGTCTGCTTTGTTTGGGTGTTGGTACGCCCCCTCGTTGCTAGGGAGCCAGTCCCGTGTAGGGCTGTGCCCCCACCCCCAGCCCGTGAGGTTTTCAGAGGTGGTCATCTGACGGAAGTGGATTCTTAAACGTTTGTGATAGGTGTCGCTGGGTGGATCCAAAGCGCCAGTCTTTCCGTTGGGAGCCAAGTGCAGACCATTTGCACCTTCCAGGGACTTGACATCCATATTTCATCTGAAAGCACATTTTCCCTGAAAACCCCGGTGGAGCTGGAAAGTCGTAGGCTAGCCACCATCAGAGGAGTCACCTGTGACTCTCTTCCCAGACAGAACCCCCCCACCCCACCCCAGTGCTCTGAAATTTGGCATGAGGCTTTGAAAGACTCACAGGGATCGCCGTCATCATTCTGGGTCCCCATCGGTGATCTCAAAGACCTGCATACATAGTCATCAGTCTCCCAGCACCACTTAGAAGTAAACAAACATTAGGATTCTATTAGCCTACCACTGGTACTTCTTCCACATCCATAGACTTCCGGTTCCATGCCATTAGTTTTTGTTGTTGTTGTTTTTTTTTTTGGGGGGTGGTGGTGAATATCCCTTTCCCACACTGGATTTGCAGGAAAAATAAAACTGCCTTCAAAGGACACAATTCTGGGCCAAGCTCTGTGGGCTCTGCACAGAAGTTCTGCAGAAAACAGTCCCTGCCCCCAAGTACTTGACAGTCTATGGAAGGAATGAGATACATGCATAGAGCTAGTAATAAAGATGCAAAGGAAACTAAATAATGCAAAGAACACCACCTGTCCAAGTATGAGTAGAGTAAAATGACAGGTTTTCTTTTTTCTTTTTATCATATTATTGGGGGCTGGTAGAGCTGTTATCACAATCCATCCATCCATCCATTGTGTCAGCACATGTGCACATTTGTTGCCATCATCATTCTCAAAACATTTTCTTTCTACTTGAGCCCTTGGTATCAACTCATTTTTCACCTACTCTCCCTCATGAACCCTTGATCATTTATAAATTGTTATTATTTTTTGATGTCTTGCACTGACCAATGTCTCCCTTCACACACTTTTCTGCTGTCCGTCCCCTAGGGAGTGGGGGAGTTATATGTAGATCCTTGTGATCAGTTCCCCCTTTCTCCCTCACCTTCCCTCTACCCTCCTGGTAGGGTACTCTCATTATTGGTCCTGTGGTGTTTATCTGTCCTGGATTCCCCGTTTCCAGTTCCTATCTGTACCAGTGTACATTCTCTGGTCTACCTGGATTTGTAAGGTAGAATTGGGGTCATGATAGTGGGGCGGGGGGGGGGGGGGATGCATTAAAGAACTAGAGGAAAGTTGTGTATGTTTCATTGGTGCTAGACTGCACCCTGAGTGGCTAGTTTCTTCCTTATGACCCTTCTGTAAGGGGAAGTCCAATTGTCTACAGATGGGCTTTGAGTCTCCACTCCACACTCCCCCTCATTCACTTGATATGATTTTTTTGTTCTGGGTCTTTGATGCCTGCTACCTGATCCCATTAACACCAATGATCACACAGGCTGGTGTGGGCTTTGTTGCTTCTCAGATAGATGGCCGCTTGTTCATCTTCAAGTCTTTAAGACCGCAGACGCTATATCTTTAGAGAGCCAAAAATGAGAGGCTTTCAATGGAAAGATTATCAAAGTTGCTGGTAGTATGAAGGAGAGATTTCAACTGGACCTTGGCTAGAGTGTGTGTGTATGTACCTGCACCCACATGTGTACTTGAGTATGCAGCCCAGAATGGGCTGATAGGATGGGCAAAAGTACTAGCCAAGGTCCAGTTGAAATCTCTCCTTCATACTACCAGCAACTTTGATGGAGTTGGACTCTTAAAATTCTCTATAAAGATGATAGATTTAATTTTGTCTCTTAATGTTCTCAAACCCTTTTCTTCTGCCCGTCTCCTTCCTGTTTCCCCCAAGGCCATTTCACAGTGTGTCACTTTATGCTATTTATTTAGAGTGATTTGTAAGGTTGGAAATATTGTCAAGAAATTGATCAACGGTAGAGTAGATCATATTGAAGACAAGAACCGTTCCAAAAATAGTCGCCTGCTTCTCTGTGTTTTTGTTCTCCTAGTAATGAAGCTCACTGCCTTTAATTATAGTTTGAGACACTGTGTCGAAATATTTAATCTCTGAGTAATGACTGGATTTTAGTTTCCTAATTGGCATTTGTGTGTTTCACATCTCTGCCCAAACCCGAATCTGAGAATGAGTGCATGATACAAGACGTGGACTGTATACCAAACATTTTGGTACTTTCGCTCCGAGACAATATGATTATAACACATAGGGGGAGAATAAAGAGCATCTATTTTATAATTCCACATGTTTTTTAACGGCTAACCCATAGCTTGTGGGATTTAAAAGTCAAACCAAAACTCTATGTGGGGCAGCTCATAATGAAGTGTAATTGTGGCCTCAAAGGAGCCCTTGGTCTTGGGAACATGCCTTGCTTGCTCTCAAATGGTATTTCAGGGACCTGGGAGTAGTTCCCAGGAGGAAATGCTCCACCCACAACCAGCTGACTTATTTGAAACCTTGTAAAACCATCTTGAAAGGACTAAAAGACTAGGTTAGGTAGAGCAGACATTGTCTTGAACTCTATCTGTCAAAATGTCTTCGACTCCCTGGGTGGAAAATCCACTACTAGCGTCAATTGGGCATCTTACCTCTTG